TTTAAAAAAATTATACTTTTTTTTATGCGAGTCAGATTTCAATTCGGCTTATTTAAATCCGACTCATGCAGATTGAATCCGTGGTGGGTCGGGTTGGTCCACAACTTCACCTATCTAATTTTATTTAATTTTAATTTTATAAAAAAATATTTATTATTTTGTTTTTGTCTGAAAAAATTATTTAAGTTTTTTATTTTCAAAATTAATTAAACACCCATGTTGAAAGTGAAATTTGAGAGTAAAATTTGTTTAGATTTGAATTATAAAAAATTTATAATTTTTTTATTTTAAAAAAATATTACTATTAAGTGAGCCAATCTGTGATGGATTGGAGTTCAAATTTTTCTAGCTACACGACTAATTGATAAATTCCAAATAAATGTGCTTTATTTTGCATTAATTAGTATATCACTACACGTTTCTTCTTTATATGGTCACGAGTTAATTAATCTATCTACTTAACTTTGTTCGTATTCCAACCTTTTTGCGAAGGTGGAGAATATGTAAAATGGGTTATATGGATAAGAGAGTGGAGCTTTTGCAAACAATATAATATCTTTTTTTTTATCTATTATGCAAATACAGAAAAATATAATAAATTCATGTAATTGTGTGTTATCTATTTTTTTAATAACAATGTTGTAACTATAATGTAAAACATGTGAAATAGATGGATTCTGAAAAATCCAGTATAATATAGTCAAAGAAGGGAATCATTTCAAACAATTTAGTAGTTTAGAGTTAGTATATAATGTAATATCATTTGGAGATGCACGTGCATAGTAATCATTTGAGTATTTGTAATATTAAAATAAAATTACCTTTAAAAAGGACGGTGCGAATACAAAAGTATTATGATTGGTGCAAATTAAAACTTTGGTTTGGTCATAAATTCAACAAGAGCACATTTTTCATGAATGAAATCTTTGTCTCCATAAATGAAGATAAGAGTGAACGAATACAATTTCGGGAAAATAAAGGCAGTAGTGTCAAAGAAGTATGAAATGAAAATATTGGAAATATGAAAAAAAAAATACTATTTCTACCTGGCCTAATACATATATATTAAAGACCATAATCCAATAAGTTTATTATAGAACAATTCAAATTTAGATCTATTTAAACAATATTAATATATTCTCAACATATGGTTATTATTATATTATTATAAATATAAATTTATGATCCATGTCTATTTATAAATATAACTAATATTTTTTAGAAAATACTTACTTCATAATTACTCATACGAGTAATTATATTTATAAAGATCTTAAATTTTTTTATTAACTTTCAAAACTACAATTAAAATATTGTTACTTGTCTATTAATATTCAAACTCAAAATCTAAGTAAAAACAACATAAATTAGATGATGATAAATAAAGTTGTAAAAAGTATCCTAATTAGATGGGTTGACAATGTAGTGTACTATATTTAGAGGTTTATCCAATTGGGTTGCAACTCTAATGGGTTAAGAGATTCCAAGTGTCCTATTTTATTTAATGTGTATAAAAGAAATAGAGAAAATGAGAAGTAGTAGTGAGCATTGGTGGTGATACCTATGTGAAGAATGAAAGAGATTTCTTGTTTAAGTAAGACAGCATATTCTCCATAACGAAGGTGAGATTATTTATGGACCGTTGAAGTCTCTTCTTTATGCGAAAGGAGTGAAGATCTGAAGTCCCAAGTGTGATTACACATCAAAAAGAAGATGCCCTATGGCTAGTTAGCTAGTGCGCGCGATTCAAGATATTATGCCAATGTCAAGAGTATCTCTCAAACTTCACCACAATCCTTCAAAAACAAGGGGACATGCAAGTGGCTTCACTCTACATATAGTGCACACTTTCTTAGAGTGCATTACAGTGCACCATCACCATGTAAGAGAAATTCTTCTAGTTATCTAAATAAGCAAGAGAAGGAAAAAAGGAGTTATATGTTAGAATTACAAAGAAATTCATTGAGAAATTATGTTGGAAAGTGCGAAGGAATTTCATTTTCAAATTGACGTCTCAATATTTAGTAATAGTGGCTTGGTGAGGTCATTGAACTATTAGTTACACCATTAATGCGCTTTATTAGTTCATTTGATCCTTATAATAGTCAAATCATTAAGGTAGAAAGCTATGCAATGGTGATCGATTAGGTTCATATAATGAATTCAATAAGAAAAGAATAAAAAAAAACTTAAACCTCGTTTATAAAAATAAAATGTCCATTAAAAACATAAAATGGCTATGTCGAATCCTTTGGATAAGATTACTATCCAAACATTTTAACCACAACAAATATAACCCAAAGTAAGAAAGGAGAAGAGAAGAAGCTATTTACACTTTAAATCACCAAAGGGTCTAATGAACTTCAAAGATATACCGGAGATCTCGCATTAAATATAAATAAAATTAAATTGTAGTATATAATAAAAATTTTAACACAACTTCTCATATCGAAAATTGAACATTTCGAATATAGGATCAGGAATAACATGTGAGTGATATGAGATTTAATGTCTTATTAAAACATGTTTTAAATAATTTTGATACTATATTAAGAAAGTAAAATATTAGTTTAACCTAACCTTATAAAATCATATGTAATTTCAACATATTTCTAGTCAATGTTTTAATAATAGATAAAATATAGGAAGAATTAAGATGCTCATATTTGTAATTCAAGTGATTTTTTTAAAATACGTTTTCTCACATAGACAACATTAAATATTTACATCGATGAATTTAATTATGTTAAAATTTTTAAATTAACTAAAAGTATAATAAAATTATAATATATAAGTAAGTGTAATTTTTTTAACTTTACTAAATAAAGTTTATAAATGAAGTTAAAGTTAAATTTGATTAGTTTAATAAGATAAAAAGTATAAAGAAACATTAAAATTTGATTGGCATGCATGCCACACCTGTGGGGTCAAATACCATACTTTGGTGTTTCCGAGCAATTTCTCTTCACTAGTGTGCACCACACTTGGTGGTGTAGCATTCCAGTTTGTATTTTTCTTTATTTTCCAGTTTTGCCAATTGTGACGCTTCCCACACCTTGGGTCTGAACTTTATCTCTTATCCCAATCTCCTTTTCTCTTTGTCTACCCTCTCTCCATTTCTTCGTCATTCGATCTCCAAAGCAAGCAAAACCACTCCCACAAATTTACTTTCCTCAAACTATAAATACACAACAAGTAAAAAAATCCCAAAACAGAAAAAAAAAATTATAATAACAAAATTATTCATGTAGTTGATGTATAAGATTCTTCCATTAATTACTTTCACTCCTATTAGTATATGGGATCTTACTAAATTGTTGAAAAAAGTGAAATATGTTAATAGAATAATTTTGGTGAAGACACGTGAGAGTAAGGTTTTAATAACGTGTTGAAAGTCTTATATCGATTAAAAATAAGATCAATTTAGACTATATAAGTAAGTATAAACTTTACTTTTCAAACTTATTTTTTAAGATTGAGTTAAACTTAAACTTATTTTGTTGTTTATTGAACATATTATTTCACTCATCATCAAATTGTTATTGGATGCAAACCTCATCTTATAAGTCAGTTTTGTGAAATTTAATTAAACTTAAAGTCCACTTCTTACCATAACTTTTTCAATAAAAAAAATTATAATTTGATCACTGTAATAAAAGATATTTTTTAAATAATAAAAATACATACCGACTGGATATACTCAACTACTAAATAATAAAAATATATAATTAATGGATTTTCAACGAAGAAAAAACTAAAACAGCCATTTTCCTTTTAATTAAAAAGTTACAATTCTAAAGTGATTTTACATATAACAATATCTTTAGTCATACTCTCAATTGTTTAATAATTTATTCACAACACTTTTCACGTAATCATTAGCACCAAATTGTTGTTTTACGAATAAAAAGTATTATTTTTTCGAAAAAGGTCCTCAAAAGAAAGAAAATTATAAGGAAGGTGGCGTGGAGGACCAGAAGCAGGCCAATTGTGGGATAGTGCTAAGAATTCCAAACTTTTTAAATCAAGGTAATTAACGAAAATAAATACTAATAATTGGGTATCCTATATTCGTGATTTCCCATTTACTTCTCCCAAAATTTTCGTTTTGGTTACAACTTTAAATACATATTACATCAACCAACAAAGTACTAATGAGCAGAATAATTAATATTGATTAATTAATTAATCCAGCATTTAAGATAGCTAACATGGTCATAGAGTATATGAAAGAAAATTAAGTGGAGGAAACAAACATAGCATGATAATAATAATTATTGGTATTAATTATTACATCATGCTCGAACCTTTTCAGTGGCTGGCTACCCAATAATTGAAAAGAAAAAATAAAAAGAGAGAAGCACGTTTATTATTATTATTATTATTATTAATATCCGCATAAAAGAGTAGTGCAACTTCAATTGCCTGTCGCTATAACTATAGTTCACAAGATGGACCCGGCATCATGATGCAAATACTGCCAAAGACGGTGAAATTCACCGTAACATTTTTATGGTAAATTGTATCTGATTCTTAGAGATAAACCCTGCCCTAGGAAGAACAAGAAGAAGGAGGAGGAGGAGGGTTTTGATACAAATTACGTATATATGAACCAAGATTCCAAAGTATGAATGAGTTGTAAGGCTTTAAGCCATTTGGTGGGTGACACATCAGAAAGAGCCATGGTGGGCCATGGGAATTTCGTGTATGTACCAGTAATAGTACTATGTTACATGATTTACCTCGTCTGAGGGTTCATGTGTGGGAGGTTTTTAAACAAAAGAGGTTAGAGAGTGCAATAAGGTAAAAAAGTATTTGGATAGTGCTAAAGCAAATACGGTGTTTGGGAGGAGCAACTGGAAAGTAGGTTAAAGCTAAATTCATGTTTTGCATTCCCTCTCTGCAAGTTGACCGGCTCCTCTTGCTTTTGCTTTTCCTATAAATACCAAACCATGATGTGCATACAGACTCGTCCAGTTTAGAGAGAAATAGAGAGAGAACCAAAAACTTCGAAGGCTACACAAATCTAGAGATATCACTATTCCAAAAAACTTCTGTTAGATTCAATTCTAGAGACATGGCCATGCATCGCGAGTCTTGGGCTTTTGTATTCGGTCTTTTGGGTATACACTACATGCATATATGCTCTTTTACTTTACATTCTTTTCTCTTTCTCTTCCATTCCAAACGTTAATTAGCCACTTCCCTCTCTATATCACGCCACATTATTCACCATCATCATCATCAACTTGTTTACAGTGACCATCTATTCGTAATATTACTATTGTTGTCTATTATCCAACATTAACTGAGATCGTACATAGGCAACGTACATATTATTGCATGCATATTTAGTGCAACACCAACGTCTGTCAAATGTATTTGTAGGATGAGCTGAACAAAAGTTGTTGTTTGATATATTTCATCAGTACTGATGGGTGTTTCTTTTTCGATTTGCTTTTACAGGCAACATCATCTCCTTTGGAGTGTTTCTGGCTCCATTGTAAGTGGATCCTATTTTATTTTTCTCCTTTAGCATGTGTAATCTTTGTGATTAATCTTGAGTCATGCCGTGAAGTAATTTCATCAACCATATCAATATCTGTTTGCAGGCCAACTTTTTACCAAATCTTCAAGAAGAAATCCACTGAAGGATATCAGTCACTTCCTTACGTTGTTGCACTGTTCAGTGCAATGCTTTGGATTTACTATGCATTCGTGAAAAGAGAAGCTGCTCTTCTTCTCATTACCATTAACACGTTTGGAATTGTTGTGGAATCAATTTACCTTACAATCTTCCTAGTTTACGCTCCAAGGAAGCCTAGGGTATTTATCTAATATAACCTTTTTTTTTATATATAGTTTTCTGAATTTATTTTCTTTATATATAAACTTTGAACTTAATTAAATGTTCTGATCTATTTTTCTTGGGGATCACAGCTTACTACCATCAAGCTTCTTCTCTTGCTGAATGTGTTTGGCTTCGGAGCCATGCTTCTGTCAACTCTCTACCTGTCTAAGGGAGCAAAGCGTCTTGCCATCATAGGATGGATTTGCCTTGTTTTCAACATCAGTGTCTTTGCTGCACCTCTCTTCATTATTGTAAGCCTTTAATGAAACCTAAAGAATGTTTTTGTTTACAAAATTTCGATCTTTTCAAAATTAATACACACGAGCAAATAATTAATTCAATTGCTATGATCAATCATGCAGAGGCGAGTGATAAAGACAAGGAGCGTGGAATATATGCCATTTACCTTGTCCATGTTTTTGACCATCAATGCTGTTATGTGGTTCTTCTACGGCCTTCTTCTCAGGGACTATTATGTTGCTGTAAGTTCAATGTTGTAATTAATTAATACTCCTACGTAAAACTACGAGGATATTCATGTTCTTTTACCTTTGAACTATTGTTGCATTATTATTCATACAAAGGTGACAAAGGTGCCTACGTGTCTTGCTAACTTTGTCCATTAATTCCCTTTTTGGATAAGCCCCTTTTGTTTTTCGTTTTACTTTAAAGGTGATAATGTCGAATCGATAATAGTACAAAATTAAATGTTTGCGTGCTCCATTAACTTGGAGTTCCATGAATAAATCCAAGTGAAACATGGACACCCCACATTCCAAAGTGCATCATTGTTTAATCAGATAAACTTTTATTTATGTGTAGGACAATGTAATTTTATTTGATTCTTCTCTTCTTTTTGGATAAAGAGATGGAAAATTTGAATTAACGTTTTGCATTTTCGTGATGATGCAGCTCCCAAACACACTTGGGTTTCTGTTCGGCATAATTCAGATGGTGATGTATTTGATGTACAGAAACGCCACCCCAGTTGCACTAGATGAGCCGGTGAAGGCTCAAGAAGCGAATGGCCACATAGTTGGAGCTGTGAAGATGGGAACAATAGAGCCAAACCATGCAGGTGGTGGTCTTGGTGGTGTTGGCAAAGTCTGATTTATGATCAATGACCAAAAAAGAAATGTTTAAAAGAGAAAATAACCCAAACTTTCAATTACTTTACCGAGTGAGGTCACATCTAAGATCACTCATATCTACAATGCAAGAATAGTACGTAGCCTTTGGTATAAGTGTTTGGTTTGATTTATGTAAAGGTGTGGTTTAAATTTGCCAGTTCTGGTAGCTGTAACTGTTGGGCACTCATGTAAGAAAAAGAAAAAAAAAAGCTTAACTAGCTCTTTAGCCACCCTTATATATATTGTACCACTACGTGTAACGTAGTGTATCAGTCAAACTCATTTCAATTCTCTTTTCCCTTGTATACGTAATTAATGTTTAAAGTTCCAGTAATGAAAATTAATCATTTTAGTAGCTCTTCGTCTCTATGTGATTTTGCAATTTAATTTATATCTTCATCAATCATTATCCATAGTGTGTGAAATTGCTTATCGCGTTTAATTAAATGTTTATCATAAGTTATTAAAGCGATGGAGAAGTGGATTCTCTTTTCTTTTCATGTGTCATGGTAGGGGGCAGATAAGTCTCCTAAAAGTTTATTAAAAAAAACATTGTATATCTTCATGACAGTATTGTTCCTAGTTAAGGACAAAAATGCCAGACATTATGCATGATTATAGGATACTAATCTAATCAGGCTCGGTCGATTCCATCTTAAAAGGTAAGTGTTGAAATAAAGCAATTCCAATATTTGGGAAATCGCAAAAGCTCGGATTAGAACGCCGATGCTCTATTGACTCTTAATTAATTAAAATTTACTTAGGAGCGTTCTCGAAGTATTAACCTACCATACATAGGACAAAGTCAAACACAAAGAAAAAGTGCTCATGATGAATCGTAAAAGTTAACAAGGGCATGGAAACCCACCCGTATCTATTTATCTTGATTTTATTAGTCTAGAATATCCATCAATTCTGTAGGGAATAACTTTTTTATTGAAAATTTAATGTTTTATTTTTAATTCATTTTTATTTAAAAATGTTAACAAATTACTTTTAATAAAACAAAATTCTCCTTTTAACATTTTTTCATTTGTAATGGCTGATTTTTTTTACTCCATTGAAAATACATTCTTGATATTAAAAAAATTAAAATGTATTAAGAAAGCACAATAGAGAAACAATATAAAAAAACTCGAACAGAAAATTCAACTTCGAATAATTGTCTCACTTAAAATCAAATTCATGATCTTTAATCTAATATCATTTGGATCAAACATTTACAATTCTTCATAAGTGCAGGAACCCAAATATTACAATTGTAACTAGTTAAAACGTGATCATAAAATAGTTGATGTTATCTCTAACAAATTAAAACATTATATTGGATTGTAATCTTCATGGTTATAATTTATGTTTTTCTTTTTTTTCTGTCACAATATTTTTTATTAATTTATTAGAACAAGAATGTCTCACGCACTATATTTTATAATTTTACATTCCATTTGTTTCATAAACCTTATAAATACACTAAACTTTTTTACATCATCTCTCTCTGGTTACAAGCCTGGAAAAACCGAAGAATCTTACTATGTGTATGCAGAAAATCTGTCTAAGTAAAACAACCTTATTTCAAAATAAAACAAAGCTGTTTATGGTATTTTTTGTTTACATTAACAGTCCATCTTCTTCAATTTTTGCTGAAACAGTTTTGCACATGGAAGCAAACATAGCCTTAAAGAGATAAAACATTTTGCCTTTATTTTTTCACTGGTGTTACCGGTTAACTAACTCACCGAAATAGTAACTAGTCGGGATAGTGACTTGAGTTGAAGGTTTGAACAAGTGTACGGATCTCAGGTTAACCAAGTGCATGTGCATGGCATGAGAAATATCATTGTTTGCACTTTTTTTTAACAAAAAAACAAAAACTTGTTGAATTTTCTAGGGAATCTGATATTTTGAATGAAATGATAGAAAACTAGCTGATTTATAATGCCCCACCACCCCATGTTTGGTGGTAACCTCTCTTCCAAGGTAGACACTGGCCGTCTCACAATTAAAGACCATACCTTTTTCTTCATAGGCAAAGCAAATCATATTATAGTGACAAGGACAACCTTCTACCATAAGGTATTCCATCTCAAAATTATAAAGTACTAAAATTCTATTCAATTTTTAAATAATATCCAAGTTTCAAAATATAAGATAACTAATAATATTTAATTACGTATCATGGATTAATTAAATTTATAAATAAGTGATATTGTAGAATCACATCATCTTTTTTTTCTGATAAAACAGGAAAATTTCTCCATGCACCAAACCTTATCAGAAACTATATTCATCGACACAAACACATGCCAAGAAACACTATAATCAAAATAAATAATAATGCTTTCACACACAAATATTTTGTATTTATTTGATATTATATTTTCTTTTCTTTTCACAAATACAAACATTCATTTTTATAATTATTTTACTCCTATCATATGTATTAAAATAAATGTCAATATATATCACCGACCATTACTTAATCAAAATATATAATTAAGATAGCTAACACGTTACTTATATATTATTTTATCATGTTTGACAAGCAAAAATGTATATCGAGAAACCAAATAACACTAGCACCCACCCAAAAAAAATGAATGTCCAAGGTATACTAAAGCTTTGAGAAGCCTGAGACCAAATCTTAGGTACACAACACTAAAAAACTGCATAATTATTTGTGTAGTGACAAGTCAAAACAAAATCACCATTTTGAACTATGCATCTACCCCTCCAATCAATGACCATGTGGAAGGCCAAATTTCCGTCCTGCAAAATAACCCTTTTTTACCACCTTTGTTTACTGTTCAACATTTGCTTTATTCTACAGATGGTAGCAAAGTTGTGATTTGTATTTTCTTTTTTTCAACTTTGTGTCAGTTTCTCCATAGGAAAAGCTTAAACCTTTTTGAGTATGTGTCGCTAATTGGTGTATGCTTTTAATCAAGTGTCGCGTTCTGATCTGGGGAAGAAAACTACGATGGATTTGTTTCAAATGATTAATTGAACTTTGGCAATTTGGAGAGTGGGGGATAAACACAACGCAATTAAAGGGAAACGGTACGTAGGAAGAGAAAAATGCACTAACTAAACGTGAAACGAAAAGAATGGGCCAAAGACTGAGAGAGAGATAACGCACGAAAGGATGTTGATGAGTATGCGTCTGAAGATAAGCATTTGATGGCTTTACGCAAATAAGTGAGGGAAGATGTTGCACTAAAAGTCGCCCATGATTGTGTTGAAAGATATAATTGCCATGCACAATACTTGGTTGCCCTGTTCCCGAATGCATAGATCGATAAGGCTGTGATGCAATACACCACTTGTTGGGTATCTTTAAAGACCCTCGTCAACAATACCTTCTACTCTTTCTTTCTCTTCTTTTTATTCCTCTTAACCCAATCAAATCATCTCCACCGCTTTCACTGCAAGTCAAATTTTCTTAAACCAATCTCAGTCACACCGAGATATAAACGTATATTATGTTAAGAAGTAGACTTTAAGTCAAATTAAATCTCACATCAACTTGTAAAATAATGTTTACACTCATATAAACTAACCTTAGTTTTATCGATGTGGGACTTTCAACGTAAAACTTTCAATACATTATTTCTCATACCAACTAAATTGGTTTTTAACTCAATAGATTAAGAAAATTATCATTACTTTTGAATTTTCATTTTTACTACAAGTCAAATTTTCTGAAGTCTCAGTCACAACAACTATCTTATTATTATCTTCATGTAATCACGCCGAGGTAGAAAAATCATCTCGAGATATAATATATTAAAAAATGAAATTTAAGTTTAATTCAATTCCACAAAATTGGTTTATAAAGTGAGATTTACACTACTTATATATTATAAACTGAATTTATCTCTAGTCAACGTGGAACTCCAAACATGTAAAAACTTCCAATACATAATTTCACATACGAACTAAATTGTTTTTTAACTCAATAGATTAAGTCAAATTTTCTTAAACCAGTCTCAGTCACGCCGATGTATAGACATCATTTCGAAGTATATCATGTTAAAAAGTGAACTTTAAACCTAACTCAATTCCACAAAATCAATTTTAAAATAAGGTTTACATCCATTATATATTATAAATTGATCTTATCTACAGTTGATATGAGACTTTCTATACATAAAACTTCCTATACATCATTTCACATACGAACTAAATTGATTTTTAATTCAATATATAGATTAAGAAAATTATCATTGAATTTCATTCTATCAGGTGGCTGTAACCTCATGTATTACCCAATGATTGTGAAATAATGTTGTTCTAGATATATATGTATATACACTTATATGATGTATGATTTGGTTTTGGCTGTTTTGATTTATCAGTGACTGGACCTGTACCATGTGTCATGCATAAACTTTGTGGTGGACCTTGCTTAGCTCATACTTTAATTCAATCATATCTCACTCTTCCTACCTTTTCTTCTTTAATTCCTCTTTTCCCTGTTTAAACGTTTCAATCAGTTCAGTTACGGTGGCCGAACATTTATCTCAATATACGTGTTCCATTCGTCCCTCTCATCGTCTGCCACGTGACCGGTTTCAGATTTTATGTCTGCTTCGCTTTCTCTCCAATGAATCTGTGCGTCTGACAAACAAGATATACATGTGCCGATTCTGTCACATGCTCCATTGTTTGTGTCTGTCTCATGCAATATGTTTTCTGCTAACATCTTCTTCTATCGTATCAACTAATTACACTTTAAGATTTGGACGCAGTTCAATCGTGCATGCATCGGTACTAATTAACGTTGATATATCCTTAATGACTCATGCACTTTCAAAATTATCATCTTTTCTTAATTTGGTAAAGTTTAATAATTGAAAACTTTAACAAACTTCCTTGTTCCAACGCCCCTCTCCCAATAAATAGAAAAAAATTACGTATCTGTAAATTTGTACAGAGTAAGACAATAATATTTTCACAAATTTATCAGTGATGTTAAAAGAGTCGTTTAAATGTTATTTATTTATTTGGAGAAAAGGTGGCAGAGAATTACTTTTGCCTTGTCATCGCAGAATCTTTGAAAAACGAACTTGACATGGTTTGTAAATTATAACGTTAATTATTGATTGATTAACTCTAGTGGTTATCATTGCAGCCGGCAACTTTACAACACTTTCTGTTCTGACCGTAGAAAGAAACTTTAGCGGAATATCATACAATTCAATCGTTTTCAATTTTTACAGTTACTGATAGTGAAAATCAAAACAGAAATAAAAAGCAGTTTTACACGTTGCAGAATTTA